CCCAACAGCATTCAAATGCATTCAATGTAGAAATATGTCATCAGAAGCAAATAACAAGAAATTCTTACGGTTGGTTCAGGTGCTCCAAAGGGGGATCAAAACAGTTCAACCAGATCAGCAATTCCTGGCTCTCTAAGAATGTTGACCTGGTGCCTACCAGCTGCTAACAGTGGAAAAGCAATGGCCAAGGAGGCACTGAGAGTAGTGGTTAAGGAATAAGCAGTGCTACACTATTTCTCAAGGAAGGTTTTCCTCCTGGGCCTTACTAAAATTTGATCACTTTGTACATATCCTAAGCCAAGGACCTTTTAAAACAAAGTAATAGAAAAGAGAATTTTAAAACAATACACATATTTTATATATATATATATATATATATATATATTAGCATATATAACCTTCAACCAGTGACCTGGAGGTAGGTAAGATTTTGTGGCATTTACTATAACACCTTTTCCTGTATTTTCAGCCCACTTAACTACAGAACATAGAATATCTTTTTTTTTTTTTTTTTAAATCTGGACAATACCATAACATAATTTTTGCCAATATTCTCTGGTCGTCCAGAACTAGTTTTTGTCTGGTTCTTTGCCATGGAGAGCTCACCTGGAGAGATTCCATCAGCAGCCTGGCTGTTCTATTTGAGTGCTAGATGGGTTGGAGATCAAAAGGAGGGACAAGTGATAACAGGTAGTTATTCCCCCAGATCCTGCCCTATAAGATCACCCTGGCTGTCAGCGTCACTCAATTAAAGGCCATCAGTCTTAACAAGGCAGCTAATCATAACTTTGTCCTTTCAGGTTTGGAGAACTGCTCCTTTTTGTCCCTTCAGGTCTAGTTTTGGTAATGAATCAGGCATTGCTAGCTCTTAGAAAATTCACTAACTTTTGTGGTTCCCTTTGTGTAGTTTTGAGTGTGCCATATGTTCTCTGTTGGGACCTGACTTATACATTCTTTCAATACAGAAACTAAGCAAGCATTCTTGAGCAAAATGCAATGACTTCTCTCTTATAATTTGAAACTAATCAAATCACAAGAATGACTATGACCTACCATCCATCTCTTTCTACTTCTAGTCAAAGAAGGGACAGGATAACCAGTAAGGGGACTAGCCTGCCTACTAGTACAAGCAATCGTAGGGCTAGAATTGATGCAACTTTCATTATCATCTTTAAAGTCTTCTCTTTAATGATAGTTTCTAATAATACCAAATCCCCTCGTATCAGTGGTGACAAAAGGCAAATTTCAATGAGAGGAACATAAGAAAGGAAGATGGGAGCTATCTTAGCTTCCTAGGACACTCAGAACAAAGCCAAGTAGAGTAAAGGAGACTGTGGAATAGGGAAGAGGAAAGGAATAAGGAACAGTGTCCCAGGACTAAACCTGTCTCTGCCACTAGTTAACCAGGTAATCTTAGGTAGTATACAGAAGTCTGTTATACGTGCCTACTTAGCATTTGAATTAACTTCCTGTAAAACATAGAGATTAACTAGAGTTAAGTTTTGCCAAACAGCTTCTAGTTCCAATTCTATTGATAAAAGGAATGTATGTTAAGAAATCCTATGATCATAGCATCTTAATGTATCATTTCAAATAACTATAAGTAATAATTCATTGTAGAAAATTTAGAATTTTTTTTTTTTAACTAACAAGAATTAAAATAAAATGGCTCATAGGAACAACACATCTTCAAGCAGCACCAATAGTAGACTAAGTGCAGAGCAAGAGACAATAGAATATAAGGATGGAAGTAGTGAGAAGGAGGCCTGGGAACTTAAGAAAGTATTTGGGTAAGGAGGAAATCCATAAACCAATTATCCAAGAAGTGACCATTTAAAAAAATTTTAGCTTCTTTCATTTCAGCTACTTTTTAATACAGAAGGATTGAGATCATTCGTGTACTGCTTAGATGTTAAAATCAAAATTTTCTTTTCTCCTTTTTAGTGAAAAAAAAAATCACATGCAATTTTCAATTAATTTAATCAGGAAAACTGGGAAAGATGGCAGCGTGCTGCAGTAAATGAGCTTGCATATAGGCTTGGTGTGCCTCTGATTATTTTCTCAGAATAAGTTCCTACAGTAAGTAGAACAGTTAGTTGGAAATATAGAAGCATTTTAAAAGATTTTTGATAAGTTTTGTGAATCACTCTCCAGAATATTTCCAGTCCTTCTCATGCCCAGCAACGGTTTCACTGTGTATTTCCATATCACCTTTATATTATTTTTTAATGCATTTTATTGAAATATAATTTATGTGCAGTGAAATATACAAAACTAAAGTGACATGGGTCGATGTTTTTTTTTTTTTTTTTGCAGTGTTCCCTCCCCTCTCCTCCCACTCCTGGCAACCAACAAAGAAATTTCCCTCCATATATAAACCTTTCCTTGACCCTTCACAGCAACAAACTAATACTATATTTGTCCTGTGATTGACATATTTCACTCAGCATAATGTCCTCCAAGTTCACCCATATTATGTGGTGTTTTGCAGACTCTACATTATTCTTTAGTGCTACATTGCATTCCATTGTGTGTATGTACCATAGTTTGGTCATCCATTCTTCTGTCAATGGGCATGTAGGTTGTTTCCATCTTTTTACTATTGTAAATAGTGCTGCAATGAACATAGGTGTGCACATAATCTGCTCCTATCCTGGCTCTCACCTCCTAGGACATATACCTCATAATGGGATGCTGGGTCAAGTGGTATCTCCAATTCCAGCTTTCTAAGGAATCACTATAGTGCTTTCTACAATGGTTGTATCCCTTCACAGTCCCACCAGCAGTGTATCAGAGTCCCAATCTCTCCACATCCCTGCCAGCATTTGTTATTTTCTGTCTCATTGAACCTTGCCATCAGTGCTGGGGTGAGATAGTATCTCATTGTTGTTTTGATTTGCATCTCTCTGATGGCCAATGATGATGAGCATCACTTCATGTATTAGTTGGCCACCCAAATATCCTCCTTCATGAAGTGTCTATTCATGTCTTCTGCCCATTTTTCAATTGGGTTGTTAATTCTTTTGCTGTTGAGGTGTTGGAGCTTTCTACAAATCTTAGAGATAACTCCCTTGCCAGGTATGTAATTATCAGCAAATATGAATTTGTTGCTGTCATTTTTGTTATGTGCTTTTTCATGGTGTCGATTTCTTTGTTCCATATAATTCTCTATGCTGAGCTCATTTTGTTTATGAATCATGTTATCACTTCCTTTGTTGCTATTGTTTTAGTACTTCCTAAATATTTGTGCTGGTCCTCTTTTTTATTTTGATGTGAAGGTTCACCATTTTCCTTTGAGGTTATCCTGTGATTCATAGTTTTCTTCCCAAGCTTAGAACAGTCCATTCTATCTTGTAGTTGTCTTGACTTCCCTACTACTAGAAGTTGTATAAATACAGGGTTTTTTTCCCTCTCTTTTTGGTTTGTAGTTGTCCTCATTTGTCAATTGATGTCTCTGGTTCCCTGTTTACAATCTTGTAGGCTTATTTACTTTGGATACTCCCATACCTGGGTTGGTTTCTGGGTTATGTCATCATGTGTGTTAATGGTCAGTTGTTGTTTGCTGTTGTTGCTTCTCTGTCCAAAGGGTTCCCTTTAATGTCCCTTTTAAGGTTGGTCTGGTTTTAACAAATTCCCTTAATTTCTGCTTATCTGGAAATGTCCTAATTTCACCATCATATTTGAGGGACAGTTTTGCTGGGTACATAATTCTTGGTTGGAAATTTTTCTCTTTCAGGGTTTTATATATACCATCCCATTGTCATTTCACCTTCATGGTTTCTGCTGAGAAATATGAGCTTAGTTTTATTGGTTGCCTCTTGTGGATAACTTTTCATTTTTCCTGTGCTACTTTCATATTCTTTCTTTGTCTTTGGTTTTGGTGAGTTTGATGATGATTTGTCTTGGTGATTTTCTTTTGGGGTCTATCCTGTTTGGGGTTTGTTGTACTTCCTGAATAGATATATTCTCATCTTTCATCATACCAGGAAAATTCTCTTCCAACAAATCTTCCACAATTTTCTCTGTGGTCTTATTTGGCTCTACCTGTTCTGGAATTCTGATTACATGTACATAATTCCTTTTGATGTTTTCTCACATGAACCCTAGGCTATCTTCAGTTTGTTTTAATCTTTTTTTTCTGATTGATCCTTTTCCAAAGAAGTATTCACATATTTGTCTTCAATCTCACTAATTCTGTCTTCCATTCATTTAATTCTACTCCTTTGCCCATTTAATGTCTTATCTATTCTGAAAATTCAGTATTAATCTTCTGGATTTCTGTGTGTAGATTTTGTATTATTTCTAATTTTTCATCTATTTTGTCATTTTGTTCTTGTATTGTCTTTCAAAACTGTTGTAGGGTTTTCTCTGTGTTTTCCTCAATTTTGTCGGTGATTTCCTTGATCTGCTTCTAATTCGTTGAAGATACCTAAATATAATTCTTTTGAATTCTTTATGAGGGAGTTCCAATTCTGCATCTTCCTCAGGGATGTGTTTTGGTTTCTGTATCTTGGTCCCTTGTTTCTCCTACTTTATCTTGCTTCTTTGTGTGGACTGTGATCCTCTGTCATCTCCAAGGCATTGTGACATTTTTGAGTTTATATTTAATTGGTGATTATATGTTGAAGTGATTTACCCACTATTTTTTTGTTTGTTTGTTTGTTTGTTTGTTTGTTTGTTACCTACATAAGCAGGTTACTGTGCTGTGCTCCTCTATTCACTAGTTGGCAGCACTAATACACTCACCACCTATTTTCTTTCCTGTTGTCAGCCTCCTATATGTCCCTGGCATCCTTGGCAAACAGAGTCTATTCTTAGGTCCTGTTTTTGTTCAGGTTTTTCCTCTAGCTGGTGCCTAATCCACTTCTATATACTTCCTTTCAAAGCTCAGGGCTCCAGGATTATCTTCTGTATGTCTGTCAATTGGTTTCTCTTTTCTTTGTTCACCTTTAATATTCTTGCACTCAGCGACAGAATGCAAATTCTCCATGAGACATTACCTGAGGTCTTGTAGCATCTTCTCATCAAGGGTAGGTGATGTCGTGGCATCTTCAAAGCCATGAAAGCCATGAAAGCCACTGTAAAAACCATAACAACCGCCAGAAGCAAAATCAGAACATGGATAACTCGGGAATCTATTCTTTGAATTCCTTGACTTGATACTAAATAAAACAAACAAACAAAAATATCTGTGAGCTGGAAAAAATAATTACTAAAAAAGAAAAGCATAAGTGTGGGTGAGTGTGTGGAGTATGTGTATTATTTTTAAAACTAATTATTTTTGCATTCCAAATGGGGGACAGAATTTATTAGTGAAAACACTTTGCATAATGAAAAGGGCCCTTAAAGGTAAGGTCAAGAGCACAGTTTAGATGGGAGAGTTTGATAAGAACATAAATAGTTGCCAGTCTCAATGTCTCTACTATGGGAAACTTGCAGGCAACATAATGTTAACCAATTTGGGATTCATGGAAAAGAGGCAGGAGAAAAAAGAGTCTGAAAACTTGAGGCAATGCATTTTTAACTTTCTGTATTTTGTATTGTAATAAGGAAATTTACCAAGGAATAATTACTACTACAAATTATTTCAGCCCAGCATTCTCTATGGAGGGCAAAAGGAGGCACAGCTTACACCTAGCTTGGAAAAAACAGTGTCCTGGAGGAACCACTAAGTGATTAGAGGTGATGGAAGGAGCTGAGGTAATGGGTGACCACCAGGATGGTAGATAGTTGGAGGAGCATGAACTTTCTACAGCATGTGAGTTGGGGATAGAATGATCATAATTGTAAAGTAAAGGAGAACCCCAAAAGCAGAAACTTGGAGAGATCTCATGTTAACAAGAGTCAAAATCCTATTGGTCTTGTGATCTCTATGCCATGGAATAGTTGGAAGCAAGCTTTAGAGTACAAAGGTCCATTCAGGGAGGGAAATGTGTTGGGGTTAGAGTTATCTCTATTTGTATAAAGGTGTCAATTTTTATTAACATACTCATAATAAAGTAAGTACTGCTTTACAAGTAATAAAACATTAATTTGTATATATTTGTGTTATTCTTAAATTGGATGTGCATGCAAAGAAGAGATTAAGTAACAATACTAAGGTGACTTTCTTAAGAGATTTCACATGCTTTTTTTTTCCTCCTGAAAAAATCTTTGCAAAGTATAGCTCCTACACATGGTATCTGTGACCTTTACTTCTCCTATTTGTAAGAGGATCTGCCCAAGGTCACAAATCAATTCAGCAGCAAAATTAGAGGTGATGGAAGGAGCAAATCAGCATGATCTTTATTGAACAGATCTAGATCCTAGAACTCTAAAGCATCCACATCTGGATCTCCTCTTCAAAGATTGTAGGCTATCTTGGGCAAGGCAGCAAGTAGAAACGTGTAATTCAGAGCAGAAAATCACAAGTGTCCTGAAAGGATGAAGTCTAAGGTAGCAGGACATTTGCCTGGTGCTGTACTTTGCTGGGGTGGCTACAGGCCTGCTACAGGCCTCTTCCTGATGGTGGGTATGAGCAGACCCTTCTCAACAGGCCAGGGCTTACTTGTGAATGAGAGATGTTAAATGGCTACTTTTCTTTGTCAGAGATGGAATGGTCCTGATACTTGTGCTTTATGTGAATTGAAAATTATATCTCTGGTTAGAAGATGGACCATATAGGGTATTTAGACCATTTCTTCCTGGTTATTTTTCCACACTACAAAATGAATGCAAAATGAGGCAATGTTGGTAACAATGGAAAACTGGCTCAACTGTATGTTACATGGATATGACACTTTTATTTAGGAAAAAAGATAGAAGTGTCAAATGCATCTCCAATTTTTAGTTCTTTACTCTCAAAGTGGCAGCTCTGCAAAGACAGTGTTACTGATGGGTATCTTGAAGTTTCTATCTATTTCAGGACCACATGATCTAAGGATAACTCTGTGCTTTTAACTCCAAATCACAGTATAAAGGATCAACAAACCTCCAAATTTGTTATTCTTCCTAATTTTTTACAACTAGACTTATAGGAATGTTTCTAAAACATTATATGCTCCACTGACTTGAATATCTTTACTTTTGGGGTAGCTACCATGGTCTCCCATGATGTGAACTTGGTAGCTTCAAATTAGGAGTCCAATCAGCCACCTAACTTTCTAGATAGTTGACTTTATGAGTACACATGTCATAAATCTATAGTTAGTGGACTAGAAATATTTTAAGTAATGAATTTTGGCAATTGATTACCAGTAGAGACTCTATTAAAATAGAGCTGAATCAGGCATATACTCAGGGCTTTAAATATTCTATGGTGACTATTTCCTCTAGATTCATAGTCAGTGTCATGTTTTCCCAGCATTTTTAACTTACTACAGAGCCTAAAAGAGTCCCTGGGTGGAGCAAGTGGTTAAGCACTCAAATACTAGCCAAAAGACTTGGGGCTTGATACCCAGCCAGAGGTGTCTTAGAAGATAGGGTTGGTGAGCTGCTTCTGAAAAGTCACAGCCTGAAAAACCTTATGAAGCAGTTCTATTCTGCACACATGGGGTCACCATGAGTCATAATCAACTCAGTGGCAAATAACAATAACTGTGCCTACAGCCTCAACTCCCAAACCCCAGTACCTAAGACATGTATTGGGCATAGTGGTGACCAAATATTGAAGATGTTTACCCCACAAAGGCATCAAACCTTATAGATTTTCCCCTTTATGTCTGAAGCCCTGAAATCCTGAGAGGGAAGTTCTCTGGGAGTAATTTCTTTTTCAATACTGTGCTTTTATGTGGTTGAAGGAGGGAGTTATTTCTACCATCTTGTCCAGAAGTGTCCCTGTAAATCACATTTTGATTCACACTAATCTAAGGTATTTTTTAAATGCCAACCTAATGCCCATGTTTGATATTTACAAAGGTCTGCTACTGCTAAAGCCAAAATTCATGTTCTAAACCTACAACTTACCTACATCCAGTGTGTGTACCATGAATAAAGTATATTTTCTTGAACTAATATTGCATACATATTCTCCACTGTCTGAAGGATCAAGATTTGTCAAAGTTGAAGAGAAGTCACTCTGGTTTACCAGCTCTTTTTTCCATGAGAATCGGGATTCACTGATAATTGTGTTTTGTGAGGAGCTGAAAAAGTAAGCCAAAACCGAGGAAGTTCCACTTTTCCTTCTGGACCAAGTGACTGAGAAGTCTTGATTTGGTAGAATAAAATTGTTGTCTAGTTGACATGAGAGTGAAATGTCTTCACTTTTCTCTTTACGAAGGTGATCTAATAACAGGATAGAAAAGAAAACATTGATAAAAATTAAATTTTCAAACAAATTTTGTAAGTTAAACTTAGGAAACAGAATGAAGATTATAATATTGATTTCTTTGGAAATATCTTTTTGAAAAGAAGTTAGATACTTATACTGTGGACTTTGTTAAAAGAAAAGCCTTGTTGTTGTCAGTTGTCATTGAGTTGATTCCAACTCATGGCAACCCCATGTATGCAGAATAGAACTGCTCTATAGGGTTTAAGGAGCTCTGGTAGCATAGTGCCTAAGGCACTTGACTGCTAACCAGAAGGCTGGTGGTTCAAACCCACCAGCCACTCCTCGGAAGGAAGGTTGGGCATTCCTACTTCTGTAGTGATACTGCCTCGGAAACCCAAGGAGGGGTCGCTATGAGTCGGGGCCGACTCGATGGCAAATAACAACAACAAAATAGGGTTTTTAAGGCTGCAACCTTTCAGAAGCAGATTGCCGGGCCTGTCTTCCAAGGTGCCTCTGGGTAGCTGAGCACTTGACCATTTGCACAAGCCAAGGAACCTAAAACAGAAAAACCTTATAACCACTATTTTCCATTTTGCCACCATATACTTCAAGTGTCCTAAAGCCTGGGACTGTTAGAGGGTGCACCTGGGCTTTAACTCTCACACCCTGACATTGTTGTTGTTGTTGTTATGTGCCATCGAGTCGGCCCCGACTCATAGCGACCCCTCCTTGGGTTTCCGAGGCAGTATCACTACGGAAGTAGGATTGCCCAACCTTCCTGACATTAGTACTCAACAAAATTTCTGCCAGCTATTATCCTTTGTAACTTAATCTGTTAGCTGTCAAGTTGGCTCAGACTCATGGTGATCTTTTCTATAACAGAAGGATAGTCTTGGACTATCTTCATGATCATGGTATGTTTGACTCCATCATTGTATTATGTTGTATTTGAATGTCTTCCAACCTAGGGGGCTCATCTTCCAGAATATTGGATAATATTCTCTTGTGATCAATAGGATTTTCACTGACTAATTTTTGAAAGTAGATCACCAGGCCTTTCTTCCTAGCCTGTCGTAGTCTGGAAGTTCTGCTGACCCTTATCCACCATGGGTGACCCTGCTGGTATTTGGAATACTAGTAAGTAGCACAGTTTCCAGCATCATGAAACACACAGCCAGCATGGTACAACCAACTGACAGACATGTAGTAGTTCTAACTGAATAGTGTTCTTTTATTGACCGCTCAAATGCTTATGTTCCCCAGGACTCTCCTCTTGTTACTCTATCGACTCCATAGTGATCTCTGTAACTTTTATGGTCAGAACCACTTTCTAATCTCTTTATCTAGAGAGTCTCTTTTCTGCACATAAGAAGTACAATTCCAACCATCTGGCAATAAACCTCCTCCATAACAGTGGATTGAACGCATGTAGAGCAGACACTCCAGTGGGTGATCTTGGTTTGCCCCTCCAGATCCAGCTTCACCCTGTCCTTCCTGTTCTTTACTTTTATAGGCTGGTCTCCATGGATGGCCAATGGATTAGTATCCATGGTTGTTGATTCACCTTACCCTCTAGTCAACCTGCTGGAGAGTAATGCCATAGCAAACAAATCTAGTATTTCTATGAGTTTCTGAAATCTTTCTTTGGTTTCACACTATTGTTAGGACCTAGTTCAAACTCTTTATCAAAGTGTGGAAAGCCTTTGATCTGGTTTTTGTCTCCTTCTCCATGTTCATCTCTTGACATTCAGGCTTCACTCTCAGCCACCTAACACTTCCATAGAACCAGGCACCTTTACTGTTCTTTGCTTTTGTACATACTGTATCTGTTGTCTGGAATGCTTGTCTTCTGGAATCCCCTAATCTTTTAAAACTCTGCCTTTATGTAACTTTCTTAAACATATCTTATCTAACAATCCACACATATCCAACCAAAGTGAACAGAATTAATCACTCCCTCTTTATGCTACCTTTTTGGTTTAGTTTTAGTTCTAAATGTTTATGCTAAACGTCATGCATTCAGAGCTGAGTAAGAGTCCAAGTTCCTAGGAGTTCACAGTCTGGGGGAGATAAAGCTTGGCACATAAGAGATCCTTAACAAGATAAAGCAATATTGAACCTACAGAACTATTGGTACATCAGGATACTCAATTTAAATAAACATGAGAAATTATTATTTTCCAAAGAAAATATTTATAATTTAACTTTAACATCTTCAACATTTTTTTTATTGCCTAGCTGCTGAGAAATGGCCAGTGAACTTCAGGTGCCCATGCCTTTAACTCTGGAGTCATGTAAAGTTGGTGCATCACTCTCAATTTCCATATTTTCTTGGTGAGCGTTTTAAGAACATGGAACCCTGAGGAAGAAGAGAAGGCCAAAAAATATAGCTAACCTCCACTTTCCTCACATAAGGGACACTTAAAGGAAAATGGTGTTTTGTTTCTAATGAAACATAGAACAATAATTTTCCTTGGAATTGGGTAAGGAATTGTCCATTTTTTTCCCTTTAATCTTTTCTTTAACAGTAGGTTATAGATACATATAGACATTGATCAGAGTTAGGCTTTATACAAATAAACTAGAAGAAAGAGCCCTAAAACTTGATAATGTTATGATAGAGGTGCTGCATAAAGAGTGATGGGCTGATATTAAATAAACAGAAGCAAAAATACTAATTATAATTGTCTTTTGTTATTGTTATCTGCTGTTAAGTCAACCCTCAACTCAAGATGCTCCCATGTGCAACAGAACAAAATGCTGCCCTGTCCTGCACCATCCCCACAAACAGTTGGGGGGATTGACCATTGTGATCCATAGAATATCCATTGGCTTATTTTTGGAAGTACATTGGCAGGCTTTTCTTCCTAGTCCATCTAAGTCTGGAAACTCTATTGAAGCCTATTCAACTTTATAGGAACACAGAGAAACCTCCACTGACAGATGCGTGGTGGCTGTGCATGAGGTGCACTGGCTGGGAATCTAACCCACGGCTTTCACATGGAAGGCAAGAATTCTACCACTGAACCGCCATGTTCCTGGGTGCTTCAGAGAGCTAATACATTCAGCTGCTAATACAAAGATCAGAGGTTTGAGTTTACCCACAGATGCCTGAGAAGAAAGACTTGGTGATTTTTTTTTTTTTTTTTTGGTAATCATCTATTGACAGCCTGGTGGAGTACAATTCTAATCTGCTATGCGTTAAGTAGCCACGAGTTGTAGTTGATTCTATGGCAACTGATTTACTCATTATAACAGTGATTGGCTTATTCTTTTTGTTTTGGTATAAGATTGGGAAGACTAGGATATTATGATCTACTAAAAGACAAGCAATCCTCCCTTCCTCTCTGATCTTTCTAACGTTCAATGCAGGTAGGAAGTTCTATTGCAAGGATGAGACTCATGCAGAAATGTATATGCAGTAATGTTTATTGATAGTTTTGCTACTTTCCATTTCAAAAATATTTTTATTCAATTCTTAAACCCCTAGCAAACTAAGAGTTACTCCCATTTTATTAATGAGAAACTTAACCCCAGAAATATAT